TGTGTCTTGTCGTCTTCTGGCGAGAATGAAGGTAGGCCGCTGAAGTCCGTAAATTTGTCGAACTCGAAGAACTCGGTATTGGTGAACAGAGCCAGGTCCTCATCGTTGAAGGCAGTCTGCTGCTGTTGCTGCTGCTGAGCCTGGTCGTACGGCGAGGGAATCGCGTTCAAGTCATCGAGGTATTGCGAGAAGTTGGGCATGCGGCGCCCATTGTAGTTGGCCATGATGAAGGCTTTCCCGTTTTCCCGCTACGATCAGTTGAGGCAGAAGCCGGAGACCGATCTTCTTGATGCCGATAGATTGTGGAAATGCGCGTTGCGCAGGCTGGAGAGACGTGACTCAGACGCCGAATGCGGCTCGGTGCGGATTCGTCGCGAGTGCGATGGATGTCGAAGCACCTGCGAGGTGACTATATTTCGATTCGTGTGAATCACAACGTCGGAGATGTTGTAAGATGGATAACCTGGAAAGAAGGGAAGAGAAGTTGGAGCCACAAGTGGGTTTTTTCTTTGAATGTTCAGTGGGGTGGGAGGCCCGGGGGCCCCCCGGAGGGGTGATGATTAATCCCCCGATTTGCCTTCATTTGCCTCCCAATCCGTACACTGGGGACTATGTTGACGTTGGAAGTATTCTGTACTTATATTCCCTTTCTCTTCCAATTTACCTTGCCATTTTATTCCTTCCCACGCTCTATGTAAATTCTAGTATACAATGTTACCTAGCTGTAGAGACGGAGAAACGAGTTGATCGAAGGCCGAGAATCGGAGCCCACTGAGTTTAAATTCTCGGTTCCACGTTCCATTTTGAATTAGGAAATTCCACGATGATCCTATACCTACTCCGTACATATTATCCTATTCAAGATTGTATGAGATGAGATGAATACTGCATGAATCACGAATCAATCATTTTACGGAATATTATTAGTACGACTCCTCATTTTCCTAGGCCATAGTACCTTCAATAAACCCAGCGACAAACGCGGCTCTCACACAAAACGAACTCGAAACGGCGGGCCCCGAAATCGGGGTCTGCCACCGCTGATTGGCGGACTTTGACAGCTTGGTCAGCATCGAACCAAGCCTAGAGGAGGGCCGTTCGTGTTCAGGTGAAGTTATTCCTCGAATTTCCCGAGGCCGCTCCGAATTATTCATCGACATATCTCATTTTAACTAGTTAGTTAACTAACTTACTAATGTCTTATCTTAGTTGTCTACTCCGCACTATTTGACTATTAGGGAACGATCGTTTCAATCCTTGTCATACAAACATACTAAGACGGTAGTTATACGAGGGCCCTTGCTGATTCCCAAGCACAGACACTTATAAGGGTTCTAAAATTCAAATGCCGAATGACTTGACACGGTTTAGCGTTCCTTATTTCGGTGCACTGGCCAGCAGCGGCTCTGAGTAAAACTAAGTCGATCAGTCTCTTGGCTTATTAAGAATCACCAATTCGATCCCATAGAGAGTACTCTTGTTCCAAGAGATGGACACAATATGAATGGCACCTGGAATCATTCTCCTGGTATCCCCGCAATCATGCACATGTACCAGATACTCGTACTTGGGAACTTTGTTCATCCAGCGTTCATGTTCACTTCGTGCTGCTCTTTCCATCCACTAATCATCATCCGAGGACTCGGGTTTGTTCGCTACATATGTAAGTATGAACTGAGCGTACCTGCCTAGGTAGAGTACCTACTAAAATATCGTCGCTACTGTAAGAAAACCCTCATTTTCCACTTTAGCGTCGAAGAAATACGAATAACAGTCTCAATGGTTGAGAATAGACGAGCTTAGAATATAGACAGTTTATGAAGTTATGATAAGCCTGATTTAGCTATCTAAGAGGATAATCAGCATTGCTAGGCTTATTTTAGAAGTCATTTCTGAAGACGGTATGCAATTGAGAACTGAGCGCTTCCTTTCATTGTTTCTCTCCCGGTGTCTCGCGAATATTTACCTACTAACCCTAACATGCCGGGTAATTTGAGAACTTCTAGGAGGGCCGATAGCTATAACCCGACAATCCTCACTGTGTTGGATTTTGGCACTTTGTAGCTTTGAACGAAGTCCTTCCGAGACATTTCGAGACACGACGTACCCTTCGATCTCATATGAGATGCATTAACGCTTACTACATCTTCCCTAAAGTAGTAATAATAAAAGGCAATCGATGTATGCATGGTATAGTCACGTCAAAGCCATAGTTGTACTTTTGGTACCTAGGTAGCTTTAAGTGCGGCTTAGTCAATGAACTTACAATAACTACCGATTTGTTATGAGCATTTTGAGCGAAAGTAATGACAACCTAGAGTAAGGTAGTTGATGCATACGAAGGTAAAGCTGGGCTCATTTCCATATTCAAATGCCAAACATGTGGTCAATTAAGAAGTTCATGAGTGAGGAATGAGGAACATTAAATTGACCATTTTCGGAGGCAGCGGTTATATATATATCCATCTACAATGTCATTAGTTTAGGTAGAAACATGTCCACGAAAGTCTTTGGTTGCGTGCTCGTTGGCGAGAGAAGTAATTTATAGTCATTACCCGCTGAACATTGATTTCTCCGGTTGACTTCAATATAGGGAAGGTCTTCAGATTCCATGGAAATCCACCTAGTTGCCCTCGCCCTAGGAGACCGAAGCCCATCGAAGGGATATTCCTAGGAGCATAAGCTAGAATACGAAACCGATAGGTCGATTGGATAACCGCATCGTGATTCCCTCGCTTGATAGGAAAGAGACCGCGAGCATTAACGGTTAAGCTGACGCCCCAAATCCTTTTTGACGGACGATGGGCGGGCTCAGGTTGCACGCGATGAGGCTAGCGTGCTGCAGTTTATTGATTTAGCTTACTCATGCCGTTCATATCTGCTTAGATATAAGCCAGCTGTGAAAGTAGACGCCTTCCAATATAGTGTCAATAAAAGCTCCCCTTCTTCCCCTACTCCCCAACCGCTAGCTCTTATTACAACTCAGACACCAGCATAACGGATTCTGAAGCACCTTGCTGACGGTGTTCCAATCTTTCGCCCCAGGCATCTTCGGTCAGTGTTGACTAGAGTTGAAACGACAGGTTTAGTAACACATATTCCTACTAGTACTAGCGCTCAATGAGTGATAGTATGTATGGGTTCAAATAAGTGATAGTATGCGTTCACTAGCCCGTTCTAACCTTATATAGCTATCGGTCTAAGACAGGTCAATCATGATAACTACTTGCACTCCTAGTAACTTATGAGATAGTACAAGCATATAAAACAAATGTATTTCCGTGACATAACACGACCATATACAGAATAGTGCTCCTCCTATTGCAGATTTCCAGAATCATACAACCTTTGTTGATACATCTTTTATTCAGTACATGTCTTCTACGATCATACCAAGTGTACTATTAGCTCAGTTTCCCGGCCTAACTAAGCGGGTGTTACTTTATTAAGACTGACCTACCATAGCTCTCTTTTTACCTGCTAGATTGGGTTCTTAGCAAAACCCGAACTCATCGCATGTTAGGCTTGGGGGTCGGGTTTGCAGTCCATATCTTTGGCACATTTTCCTGTCCTGCCATCTGCATCTAAGCCATTTGCCTCCGCATCTATACAGTTGCTGATTTCGCTGCGGTGCCAAACTCAGTCAGCTCTTGGGGCCAGGCTTGCTACATCCACGTTCTTGTTGTGTCTATTGTTCGACAGCACCATGCCTCGGCGCAACGCACTGCGCGGATTTCCCCGACCTATTATGTTCGGGGTATTAATGTAACACTTCATAGTAGTCCAATCCAGTGCTTTGACTGACTTACGGTATCTGGCACAGTTTCTAGGAATCGCTCTAGGCTGTCGATCAGTATCTTGCAGGCCCCCAAGTCTACTGGGATGATCGCTCGAGAGACCTCGATATCCTCTAGGCATATATTATTTTCAATTTTGGGCGTTATTGGGACTTTATTGTCTGTTCTGCCTGTTTACATACCCTTTGAAGCAGAAGGCTCAGAAGAGTGTGACCTCATGTCCCATATGATCTGATTTTTTCCTTTTTCCTTTACCTGTTTCTTACATTTATTTTATACCCCTACCTTTCTTCTCCCAACTCTTATTTGCTTTTCTCTTTCATTTTTTCCCGTGTCCTTGTCTTTTCACTTTTCGATCGATTCGCACTTAGGGCGGTGAGAATGACCAGACCTCAATTGGCGTAGTCAAGCCACTTTATGCATTCGCTGCATGATTTTGGCCGATCTAGATCCGCAATTTCTCGATTAATAATGATTGAAAGATGATAGGTACTACCTACATATGATGCACCGCAACAGCCAGTACACGCACGTTTCAGGCTAGATAGGTCCTGGTCCACTCCAGGCACTAGCCTACGCTATTGAACGGAGTACACATCTGTGACGTGTTTGGGTCGCACTCCAATCAGATCAGATAATATAGCGCCCAGTCTGCATATACCAGGATCTCATATAAGATCACTACTACGCCAAAGCTGTGGGCAACTCACTTACATGTCGCTTCTCCATAGCGATGCATTATTGTGTGCCGCACTATTGCAACAATGTGGAGCACTAAAGAATCTCAGACTGCTCCATTGGGGAATGGATCGACTTCTTCGATCTCGACACGTAATTCTGGTCTCTTTTACAGGCAGCCACGGTAGATGGGGTAATGTCAGCTGGCAGTGACATTCTCGGCCTGCATTGCATGGTTGTATTGCTCGGGACAGACACCTTACATCATAGGATGTGACTAGTCTATTCAGGTTGTGTCAAAGAACAAGCTGTTTGCAGCTCTTGCTACACGAGTATGTACAGTGACGACATCATTATAATGCCTCACCGAGGGGTGCTGTTCCGTCTCGACCTTGCCCTATTTCCAAGCATTATCTAACGCATGCGTAGCTTGAATTCTATAAAGAACCCTCTACCCCCTAACCCCATCAACTTCTTTTTCTAGTCCAACTGCAATTGGAAGAAGATTGAGCAAGTCAATTCAAAATGGCACCACCCAACAAGGAGAACATCCAGGGAGACATCTGGTAAGTCGATACCCTACTAGGCGCTTCAATTGGCATTTGATTCTAATAATTCTAGGCCCCGTTTGTCCAAGAAGCACGAGCTGTTTGTCTTCTTCCGCATCACTGACCCTCAGCTGTTCAAGAAACACTTGGCTGTCCTTGTTCCCAATCTCACGACTGCCAGACATGCTGAGAAGTTCAGAAGCGGGATTTACAAGAAGAAGGCTGAAGGTACTTTCCAAGGTCTGGTCCATTTCTCTGCCATCAATGTTGCCTTCTCCGCCAAGGGTCTAGCAAAGGTGAGTTATGAGAATACTCGATAATTACATGAGCCGCGCTAAGCCATGCTAGCTTGGAGCCGAACCATTCAACGACGATGTCTTCAACAACGGCCAGTGGGAGGATTTGACCTACCCCCTTGCGGGAGATGACAAGACAAAACATAACGGTCTCGATGACCAGCATGATTGGTTCCACCAATTCACCCCACGAGGTGGATACCTCGACGGTGTCTTCACTATCACCGGTGAAAGTGAAAAGACCTTGGTCGATACCATTAAATCGGTTAAGCAGGCTTTCGGAGTTGGTCTTGAGCCCAACCCAAACGACAAAACCCCTCCAGCCGACCCTATTCTCGACAAGCCAAGTATTCAACTTGTCTTCCAGCAGCAGGGACATGTTCTTGATGATGACAGAGAACAGTAGGATACTCCACACTCATTACATATGTTATGCCAGACTAATATCCACGGTTTAGTTTTGGATGGGTTGATGGTATCTCCCAGCCCGTTGTCATTGGTCTGGACACCGATGCGAAGGTCGAAGAAGCCAAGAAGGGCTTGAAGCCAATCCAGGCTGGGTAAGCTCTAGGCTTTTCACACCAGATGCCGGTAAATGCAGTCACTGACGATCTCACTAGTACTATTCTTGTTGGAGGCGAAGGCGATCAAAGCAACCACCCGGCCTGGGCCAAAGAGGGAAGCTTCATGGTGTTCCGCACATACGAACAGAGAACACCCGAGTTTGTCGCGTAAGTATGCCCTCTTTGGCTTTGCTCTGGTACTATATTATTGACACGTCCCTTTCAGCTGGTGTGGCCGCAACACCAAGAAAATCGCCACCGAGGGCATGACAGCGCGAGCTGCGGGAGAGCTTCGCAAATTCTCCTCCCGTGTTATTGGACGATGGCCCAACGGTAAGATCCCCTTTTCGACGCGCATCCTTTTCCTCGTAGCATTCACTTATTTGATATGTACAGGAGCCCCGCTTGAACTTCACCCAGACGAAGATCCTACACCTATGGAGCATCCTGAGCCAATGCAGAACAAGAAGTTGTTGTTTGAGAAATGGAAAAAGGAGGGCAAAGACCCTGAAGCGGAATATAAGAAGCTGGAATTGGTGAATCACACGGATGCCTTCACTTACGACCCTGAGGACCAAACCAAATGTCCTTACGCTGCCCATATCCGGAAGTGCGGGCCTCGAGATGACTTCCCCAATTACGAGAGGCATCTTATGTTGCGACGAGGAATTCCCTACGGACCATTGACAGAGATCAATGAGAAGGGTGGTGGCGTGTCACAGCATGACCGTGGCCTGTTGTTCGTTTCCTACCAGAGCAGCATCACCAACGGATTCCGATTCGTCCAGAAAGGTCCGTATTCTCCTCACAGTGAACTACGTTCATAATTAACAACTCCGCAGAATGGGCAAACAAGGAGGATAAACCCGTTGATTTCACTGACAAGATGGGAAATATCGCGCCCCAGGGTATCGACGCTATCATCGGTCAAGTACCTCCTGAGTACCGCGAGGAGGATAACGTTACCAAATACGAGCACCCGGCTCCTGTTGCAAACTTCCCCGATGTTGAGAAGCCTGTGCCGACCCCGAACAAGCATTACATTCCCATCGAACGCTGGGTCATCCCTCGCGGTGGTGAGTACTTCTTCGCTCCTTCGATCTCAGGAATGAAGGAGGCTCTTTGCAAGTAAGCGTGAGCGTCATTTCATCGAACATACGTTCAGTTGATTATGATTGCTATGCTGCTGGACTCGTTCGGCCTTTGTCTTTTGCTGGTAGATAGTTTGGTGCTCTGTGCCTTTTTTCTCGGTAGCAAACATGGCCTGATTACGTTACTCTTATCTCTCACTACATAGTTACCTAGTAAACTTGACCCTATTCTGGGGATACTACCAATGGATGCCCTGCATAAAGACGTAGGCGAATCCCTTGCTTATGTCTTGATTCGTAGGGAACTCTATTCCCGATGTTGCTCCAAGGAGAATTCATGTGACGCAAGTATCCCAGTTTTCTTCAGTCGAGGCTAGACCATGCTGTATCTTTCGGCACTCTGCTAATAGACTTCATAGTGTTGCTCATTGATCCGCTGTAAAGATCACTGTGTAGGTAACTGATAGCGGTTATGTGAAGTTTTGCTTACTTTGGTTGAACCGTACATATGGCATAACGTGCGAGTGGCAATATGCTACGGTGCCAGTCTCTTCAGGAATTATGAATCATAAATCATGTACACTGCAATTCCAACGATCTATAGTTGGGCGAAAGCAACGGTGTACTAGAACATAGAACGGAGTCGGGCGGAGCCTTGCTTAGCTTTCGAATGACGAAAGTACTCGAACGCTGCCCAGGTGTGGATAAAGCGGAGCCCCTAAAACGAAAGAAAAAGGGTTATACGGCACGGAACGTTCCACAATGGACGGAATGGGGCAAGAGGCATCCTTGCAGCATTAGATCGGCGTCATACCTGCATTCTGTAGAACTCGAGCTGTGGATCTATGCATCATGCATGCATCTTGGCGCGGCCAATCAGTCGAGAGGTCTATCAGGACCGATGCAATGCATCTTCAAGGTTTTATTGACCGACCTTGTCTGGGTTATAATCGTTCAGCTACACCAAAAAAAACCCTCATTGCCTTGCGTGCCAAATATACAGCTTATTGGAGGAAGCTGCTGGCTCAGGTCCACATTTATCAATAGCTCTAAACACTATACATCGTACATCCATGGATGGGCATGATAGAAATTACAACACAGCTGAAGCCAGAAGGTAGATGGGAAGCTTCATATAAATAGCCTCTACAGTCACACCACTAGCTTCTCTTCTTACGCCTTCTATCCTCAAAAGCTTTCTTCACTTGACAATCCTGCCTCAACAATCCCTCAAGATGCAGTTCTCATCCTTCCTATTTGCCACTCTCTTGTTGGCTGCCTCCAGCGTCTGGGCCCAGGAGGATGATACCCCTACCTGTCTGAGTATCTGCAATGATGAGCCCGGTGGCTGCCTTCCCGGCATGGAGCCTGTACAGATTGCCCCCGAAGGCGAGGAAGTAAGTGTCCACCCTACTTACCCTTTGGCTTGATACTAATGTGTTGAATAGGTCTGCTGGACTTGCTGCTCGTAATATATCAGCAATATGACACCGATGGACGATGAAAGATTGCCACAATTGAAGGAATATTCTTGGACTTGAACTGTTACCTGGAAGGCACCATGGATTCATGGTCCCATGGCGTCGGCTTTTGGAAAGTAGTTATTCCGCCTTCACAATCTGGTGAAAATAATTTGACATATCCATTGTTCGAAATAATGCTATAGCCGCCTTCGTACTTAGACATAGGTCACAAGTGTGTGCTTCTATCATATTGTATAATAAAAGTCCGGCAGGATTGCGGTAGAAAATGATGTGTTCAAAATCAAGGTAACCTGTATGTAAATATAAATGAGACAAGCATTTTTACCAAGCAGCAGCAATTGTAGTCACAGGTGTCGCCCTACTATAATCAGGAAGCACGTTCCCATTTTAACATGATCCCTGGCTAACCAACCCCTTCCACGTTACATTGCAACCCTTTTGAAATCTGGGTCATTCACAACTTTTAAAGTGGTGAAGTGGAAATGTTGGAAATGTCAAGTACCGAACTACGCTCCCTCGAGAAGACGCTGTCGCCTTACCAACCTCGGCGCTGAGGTACAATGTAGGTCCAAGCAAAAGGCATGTCGAATTATGGGCGGAAAGATTTCTGAGAGACGACGATGGAAAAGACAACAGAAAGTCTATCTAGCAGGGACGAGGTCCTTACAAACGGGGAAGGGGCAGGTCTCAGGTAGCCACTCATCCCAACAAAAAGCAACCATGAAGGTCAAATAACCGTGTTCTTGAGTGTTTGCTAAAGAGAGATACGGAGTAGCGAATTTTCAGATCTACAGGCCCACCCCAGCTAGCCACCAACATTGTGACGCCTCGGCGAAGCCGAGCAGGGCCGCGACACGGTGTCCAGCTTACCCCTCTCGCATTCTCTTGAGTCTCCCAGCAGAGTCGGCCGGACGCATTCCCGATGTTCTTCCATAGTCCCTCCCGTCGTTCCCTATGTTGTAAGTTCCAGATAGTCAACCAGGACACAGGTGACTATTTTTTCAGCCTCCGCAGGCAGTGGTGGGATCAGCGGGTCTTGGCGTATGCAAGAACCAACTTTGACCCGCGCGCAGCTGTGTCAACAGATACGTCTGATTCTTCCTTGCAGATCCGTGAAGCTTTGTGTTGGCTATTGAGGGGCCATACCTATGCGGCATTCAGCCTTACTGTTCAAGGTGGTCCTTATCGGTTTTACCGCTATATGCTTGAAGATCGGCATTCAGGATCTCCCGAGAGGACATGAAATCGAGGGAAGCAGGAGAAGAGGGACAGACAATACTTCTGGGTATCGCGAGTGTATACTGAATTGAACCTGGTTCTTGGGAATACCAGTTACTCTGATCGATCCCAGCGTATGGCATAGCTGTGACAAGCTGCTTATTGTTTTATTGCGAGTTGTCAGGGCAGTTGGATATATTCTCGTTCAAATGTATCCCGACTCCCTTTCCGCTCCCACAGCCTTTCCCATAGTAAGCTCGGAGACGGAGCAGCCGAAGTTACAGCCAAAGGGTATATGAGCTCGATGCACAGAGTACAAAGTTCACAAGTGGGTATTATTCAACAATTGGAAAACTCTGGATTGACTTGCAGAAATGACAATCTATATGAACAAAGGTATCTGATTATAGTTGTTGCACACATCTCAGTAAGGAGTGTGAGGATCTCATAATTCAAACCATAGATAGCTTTCCGAATTGCCAGCGATGATTACAAAATTGCCACGGGAGTCAAGAGACGATTGACTTCGACTTACGAGTCACTATCTAATAAGTGATCGGGGTAGTCTTATCAAGTCTCTCCAGGATCTAAAATGAACTCGTTAGTTGTGCGTCAAGAGCCAATAGAACACCGGGGAAGTTGTACCCAAGTATTGAGATCAGCATCGTTGTCTCTCAAGTTCTCGAATTGGCCATCCAAATGTTCTGAATTTGAATGTTAGCCTGGCCCATATCATTTCTCCTTTGGTGCCACAGTTATCACTCACCAGCAGTCACATAGATATTATTGGGGACAAGATCATTCATCTCCCAGCTTTCCAAGAACTGAGTAGCCTCAGTCGCATTGCCCACCTGGCTAAGGTCATACCGGACGGCTGTGCTGGGTTAGCGACGTCAATAATGTAGAACCACGACGAAAACCCACCTTCTTCTCCGTAGCCGTTTTTCCTCAAAAAGTCCAGCGATGCCCTGATTTCCTTTTCGAATGTCTCGGTAGGCTCCTGATTGGGACATCCGTCGGTGACTGTCAGAATGAGAAGGGGCCGCTGCAACACATTGCCGCTGTTAACGGGGCTGTAGAGGAAGTCATTCAAGACTTTATTTTTTAGGTTCGTGCCCAGCTGAGTCGCTCCATCGGGGGTGAAGTTCATCTTTGAGGCAAGCTCGCTGGGTTTGAGGTTATCAAATTTGTCGTTCTTGTTGATGAAGCGAAGATGAACAAGTGCGCCCTCTTCGGGAGCAGCGTCCGTGATGAGACGTGCCATCCGTTCGACCATAAATGACTGACGGCTCATGCGGTCGTCATCCTTCATCGAGCCACTGTCGTCTAGAGGCAACTAGTATAAGCTTGGTGCTCTTATGCAATTTTATGACTTTGATTTACCGCAATACAGGATAGGCTGGTACAAAGCCTGGCGGGACATGATGGTCACATTCCTGGGTGTTGCACCCGGCAAAGTTGAATCGCTCAGGATCTTGGCTGCTTTCTCTGCTACCTTGGCCACATATTCATTGCCCTGTGGGTAGAAGTCCTCAAGACCTTTTGCATTGATGAAGTTATTAAGGTTCGACTTGAAATCCTCCGCCGTGCGGGGGTTCGTAATTTGCTATTCCAGGGTTAGTAAATTTAGAATTGAAGAAATGCAGATAACAAGGTACATACGCCTGGCACTGGCTCTGACAATGCAGCAAGGCGATTTATGGCGTTCTTGCCGACATCCTTGAAATTCTTGAAGTACGACAGGGCAAACAGACCGGAGCTAACGAGAAAATTCTCGAGCTCAGGCTTCCATTCCGGCTTTTCATCCTTTGGGCGAATAGCCTTGTGGACTGCAGTGTTGGTGGACTTTCCAGCAAGGCTGGTAGGTGTCTCGCCAAGCTCGTTTGACGTATCCATGGACGCTCCAGCCTGAATGAGGGCGCGGATGGCCTCGGAGCTAGTGCCTTGTCTGATCACTGACATCAACGGAGTGTCACCTTTCGGCTGTGAAGCCGGCTCGTCTGGCTTGGCGCCGTGCTTGAGCAGAAGCTCGACAATGCGGCCGCTATTCGGTGCTAGAGTGGCCGCATAGAGGGGGGTCTTCCCATCCGGAGATACTCTGTTGGCATCCGCATCGTTCTGCAGAAGCAGCTTTACGGCACCCACATGGCCGTTTCGAATTGCCAGGTCGAGGGCCGTGTCACCGTAGCTATCCTCATCATTGACTTCGACCTGTATGAGGAGTTGGCCAATGTTCTTCAGGTTGAGAGTTCCGCTCTTGGCGTGAGTGTGAAGGTTTTGCGCCATTATGAAGATCGCTGTCGCGGCACACTTGAGCTATGCTGAGCTAAGGCCTGGTTGAATTGTTTGAGAAAGATGAAGCCCACGGTCCATTTGGTTCCAGTCGTGCTTATATCCCCAGGTGGAGGCAAACACACTTCCTGTCTGCAGCTCCCAGACAGTCTCATTGTGTCTGTTGACACGTAATGCCTGCTGGTTCACCCCACTCTTTTACACACAGGCGACGCATCACCCAGATTTGCATCCAAAAAACTATCTCGGGCTACCGACAGATGATGAGCCAATACTCGGCCATGAACCTTATTATAGTGACATCAACACGAGGGGCAATCTGCCTAGGCCTATCCATTGTGGGTCATCAACAGGTAACTTCAATGTGGTATAATGTCTCCAGCTGAGAGATCAGGAGGGTTGCACGGCAGCTGAGCTACTGTGAAGATCTCAAGGCTACCGCTAGCTTCGGCAAGACGGCCCGCTTTCAGCTGAGCCATCTATTCCTCTATTGACAACTGATTGGCTCACTCCGATGCTGTGGACCGTCAAGCTAGAACATTCTGCAGTCGTTTGCGTCAATTATCAACATGCTTTTCGCAAAACAGATTCAAATGTCGGTTGCACTTATGCCAAGACTGCTCATGGGCTGCCGCGCACGGATGGTGTACGGAGTAATATCATCATTCTTCTGCTGGTATGACGCTAGGATTGACTCTGTGGATGATTAACTCAACTACACACTATAGCAATATGTACACGTTACGCAGCTTCTGTTGGTTAATAGAATCTAGGGGGAAAACTTCAAAAGGGACGAACAGCCTTTCAGAGGGCTTTTGAGGATAAAAGTGCGGATGTGATGAGTCTTTTCATGGGGTGGTCTGCTGATCGATGACTCTTGAGTGATTTCGCCTCGCTTTTTTAGGCAGTAGCAGGGACTGTGCGAGGATATTGGCTCTGGGTTTATACTTGCCTGGGCGACATCCACCGAGTTATTGATTCAGCTCAAGCCACACGCCGGTAGGTTAGTACTTAGCTAACCGGTGATCACTAACTAACTAGCAGATCTTTACTGGTTATATGTTGTCGTTTCGCTTTTATTTTCATTTTCATTTTGTTTCTGTTGTTCTTGGCATTCAAGCAGTACTATTATCCTAAAATGCTGGGCCAATTTATCGCACACGCCCTATTACTCTGACACTTAAATGCGCAAATAGGAGCTGTCCTAGATGGCATTGGTGACGTTATTGATATGGAGGCGGGCGACCCGCTCGCTGCGGAACGGCCCGGGAATTGGAGGGCTCGGCGCCGACTACTATCAACAGTCTATTAGATTGCAGTTTAATTACGGAAAAAGCCAAAGCAGCCTTTGCATTCAAATGACAGTATAGAGGAAACTAAAAACTAAAACGGGGAGAAAATCCTATACCATGGCTGAAGCAGTCACTCAAGGGAATATGTTAGTCTGCTGGTTTTACAGTTGTCTTTCTCTAAGAGTTGACTGTGATTATTGCCCCCTCTGCATATTGGGTACGTTCTCCAAAAGCATCATGTTGTTATGTAGCATAAGGTTGTTCAGCTTTGAGCTTAAAGGAGCTGCCCAGAACTGAATAGCGACGACTTGGTGGGGACCACGCCCATTCCAGTAGATCGCATATAACAGGCCCTGTCTTTGCCGTCTGTTTTCCACATGAATCGCACACACTTCTTAGCGCCCTTGTAGTTTGCGCACTTCTCGGCGCAGTCTTTGAAAGAGTTCGCCCTACCGGTACCCAAGTCCGCTGGTCCCGGGTCATCAACTATCCAGAAGTCAGCATGTCTCTACTACGAAACCTAATAGGGGAGACAAACGCTTAGCGTAGTGAATCTTGAATTTCTCGTTCCCAGCGGTGATAATGCATTGATCGTCGCGAGGCTCTGTGGCTCAGTGATCAGTATTAGTTGAAGAGCTAGAGAGTGATATTGCATAGGACTTTATCACTTACCGGCGTCAAAAAGGTTCGTTCGGCACTTTCCATCAGGGCCTTCTCCATTGCAAGCGACATTAAGAGAATTGTACGACTGCTGAAGCGCGTCAATCCTGCCGTTGAGGGTTACGATCTGCGAATTGAGTGCGGCGATCTCATCATCTTTGTGGGTAAGATCCATGTTCAACTGGTTCTTGTCGTTCTCGCACTGCTGCTTCTGCATGTTGAGGTTGCCCTTCTCTATTTCACACGTATGTTGCTCCTCACGGCACTGTTTCTTTTTCTCTTCAACTTCAGCAGAGTGCCGGCGGCAGTCCTCTTCGGCTTTTTGGAGTACCGACTTGTCGGCTTCGCATTGCGTCAACTTCCCTTGGTCGACTTGGTTGTTTTGGCACATTTCGAGCTTATGCTCAGTTTGCTCTAGGTCATCTTTGCAGGTGTCCATTTTATCGTTGCACTCCTTCTTATCCTGAATGCACTCGTCCTTCTCTTTGACGCACTCTTCGCATTCTGGTTCAGGGGTCGGGGGAATCGGGGGGTCCTTCTCGACTTTAACCAATGACAGGAACTTGGGCGCCGGCTGCTGATCCTTATTGCTTCCTAAGGCGAAGAAGCAGTTTCCCCTTTGGTTATCGCCTTGGGTTCGGAAGGAAATTGCCTCACAGCCCTCTGATGCGCAGAGCGAGGCACACTCGAGAGCATTGGCCGCCGGTCTGCTCTTCAGATTGAGGGTATTTAGGATGGACTTGCAGGTCCATTTCCAACGGGCATTATCAATCAAGACTTCATCTTCTTGCTTTGCCGGATCAGAGCAGCATGCGTTGCGGTCATCTGACTCCAAACAGGATGGAAATACTTCCGTGAAGGTAATCCAGTCTCCATCGGGCTTTTGGTCCAGGTTGTCTCCTAAGACGAAGAAGCAGTTCCCGCGGGGTGTCTTGCCGTGTGCCTTGAAGGACGATGATTCACAGGACAAGTCATTTGCACAGAGTGATGCACACTCATGGGCATTGCTGACCGTGTGGGCTTTGCGGGAATTGAGGGACAGCAAGGTCGATCCGCAAGTGAACTTGAAGGTACGGTCATCAATTTTCACCTCTCCAGAGGGATTGGGCGCCCCACCGGTACAGCAGTCGTTAGGTGTATCGGAGGACAGGCATACTGAACTGACGCCGATCGGGGTTTGGTCGGCGAAGGCCAAAGCCGCGCTTAGCAGCAGGAGGGATGATTTGACAATCATGTTCAACCAAGAAGCACGAAAGGAACAGAACTCTGGTCGTCGAAGAAACAAGAACAACTGCATGTGCTCGCTCAAACCTCGAATAAATAGTATCGCGACACGGCGATCAGGCCCTCTACAACCCTTTTTCTCTCCCTGCATTGTGGCCCCACTCCGATACTAAGACATGATGTAAGTAATGCGGTCATTAAGGAAAGAGGAGATGTCAGGATCATAGATCGAGTGATAAGTTACATTAGTGGACCTGAAGGTGGGTGCTAGGACTCTGGAATGCTCAGCTGAACATGTTCAGCTCAGCCTTCTACCGGATGTGGAGCTGTGAGGTCGCAGATCCCCCGAGAGCCTAAAAGGAGGGGGTCCAGCCATCCACGAACGAATGGAATCAGCCGAAAAGGTCGCAAAATAAGGGTTGCTTCTGAGTGTCAGTGGGGTTGCTATCTGCAAGGAGGCTGCATAAACTATACTCAATTATCCGTACTCTACTCCGTAGCTCTCTACAATTCTGCATGCAGCGTACATTGTAGATCCTACATGGTGAGTTTCTCCTATATCATACCATTTCTGTTTATTATTCTTATGATCATCGAGATGCTTACTAGAGAAACACTGTTGTAGGGAAAGGCGTTACCAGTCTATATGTTAAATTCGCTGTAACAGCATATGGTGCTTAAGTAGGCCCTCGAATGATTTACGGACATGGTACCTAACCTTGGCATAGTCCTGGAGTAATGATAATCTTACATAAGAGAGCAGTACATAGCCTTGGAAATACTTTCTCAGGTATCAAAGAGTCTAGCTTAATTAGTCCAACTCTACAAGGAACATTCTAGACGGCCTAAACATATACTTCCAAGCTAGAAACCAATTCGCCTTCGCAAAAAGCGCAAATGAACAGACACTACAAGCTCAATATATATATCAGTAAACCTGAATTCCTCCCTGGTGTTTGACTTGATACCTAGACTGCGGTCCTGACATAGCATAGCAATCTGCCTGGATACTTGCTTCCTGTCGTCGAAAATAGAGACAAGCCCTTATATCGCTCTGCCATCGTCAATCAATATCTCAAAGAAGCCTACATACAACAAGAGAACTCTGATATGCTTGTCGAATTTAATGGAACATTCCTCAGGCATAGATTGCCCAACCTTGTTGGGAGAGCAGCCAGCTAGGGTGATGAGATTCCTGAAGCTGGTTAGCATATCAACTCAATTTGGGAGCAATTATATCTACTGAGTCCTTTACTTTCTTCCGGTATATCACATAACCAAGAAATAATAAATTATCTCACGAATAGAAGATTGAAAGAAAGCACCCAGCTAGGCCACGGTAGACATACAGATATAGCTTGTCGAGTTCAGCAAGTTATCGATTGAAGTGAGCTGGCCTAAAAACTTGAGCCATCTAATAAAACTCACCGAGTGTCCCACGAATTCCGGGCAGCGTTACCCTTTCCTATTGCTGATATAAATGTGGAAGGTAGTTTGAGTGACGGAACAAAGATCGGGTTAAGCAATATCTGATGGTTGTACATCGTTGTATATGGGTGGAAGCATGAGAGCTCTGGGAAAATAGTTCTAGATAGTGCAAGCTGGGTTCGCACAGATATGTCGAATATCCAAGTTAGTGAGAAAATATCCAAGCTAGTGAGATAATCGCAGCGGGGATACAAACCTCCTTGCCAGCTAGCGCAGACAGGTACCCTGTAGGCCCGAAAGTCGGCAGTTAGCTCCAGCTCACTTCTACGGCTAGAGGGGATTAATATTAGATAGAATTGGCTTTTTGGCTTCTGGTATCGATAACAAGAAGGCTTAGCCGTTTTGATGCTTGCCCATACTCCGGCCCGGCTGAGAATTAGCAGGTGGAA